CCTGGACCACACTGCACCCTGGGCAGCTGTTAAAGCTCTTCCTCCACTTCATTCCACTCGCTGGGTTGAAGATGACACAGCCACAACACCAGAGCTGGCAGAAAGTCCAAACCTATGGGACCTACGGAAGTTTTGGGAAGTGCAGGTACACGTATAAGCACTTCAGCATTTCTTGCCCTGTTAAAAGCATTAATTTGCACCCCAAGCAAAGAGCTGGAGATGTTCCATCACTTACAAAGACCACGAAGTCAAGCAGCATCACACTGAGACAAACCTCCAGCTCCTTCCTCTGCACCAAGTTTAGTTTCTTCCCTCACCAGCCTGCACATGGCAGGTAACATTCAGCTTTTAATTACACATTGAACAAGTCCCCCACACTTCTACTGCTGAGATAAATCCTGAAAAGACAAATGATGGTCAGGAGAGTGACTCACCATGTAGAACTGTAGCAAAACCTGTGCCACAAAGGGATCTTAGCCTCTCTTTTTAACAAGAGCTGAATGTGGTTCCTTTTAGCATTCCTTTCTTTTCCATTCCAGCTAGTAAACGGTATTTCTCAGTCATAATGGCCATGAACATCAAGGACAGGGACAATTAATGTCTTCTTGCAGGAGAAGCAGCAGCCTCTGGGACCTACCAGCAGCAACTGGCTGCTTCTTCTCACCCTACTGCAGAGGCAATCTGAAATGCAACATTACTCAAATTAAAAGGATCTTCTCAACTAAACGCACTCCACAAATCAAAGCCCATAAGGACTCAGGTTCAATACTAGGAGAATCACTAATTCAAGACTTCCACCTGAGTAGATTTTGGGTGCATTTGGCACAGAGAAGCTAGGAAAAGACTGTGCAGCCTTCATCCACCTGTTTGCACCCATAACACCATGAGGACTCAGCTGATGCCTCTGTCAGTGCTTGGGCACCCTTCAGCTAAAGGTGTCCAGCAAGTTTCACTGCCTGAGTAACATCTTAGAACATCTGTGTCCCACCACCTCTGCAGATGATCCATAAAGCAGCCAGGGTGAGTCAGACCATTCATCTCTGGCTCTTCTGCAGGATCAAGATCTTACTCCTCATTGACAAGGAAATTTGGGGGCTGTGGTCTGGGGAAGCTCCACCTGAGAAAGAGCCCCTGCCTCAGAGGGGTGAGATTCACCAGCTGAGGCACCAAACCCATTCAACACCCCTGTCCTACAACAAAACCACCACCTCTCCATACAAATAACAGACGAATTAGAGCCAACTCCAAAGTCAGCAAGTTGCCCAAGCCCTTCAGCACAGGGGATAAGGCAGGTTTGCTCAGGGATTTGCTGTCCCTGTGTCTCCTCTGACTGTGCAGGGCTAGAGGTTGCTATGAAGGTCCTGCCACATTACTAACTGGTGGCACATCCAGTTCCTTCAGTTCAGGGATTGAACTCACCATAGCAGCAGGCCAAAAGTCCCAGCACTAATACAGTAACACAGGGGAAAAAGGAAAAAAAAAGCAGTTCCCTGCTGCTCTGCCAAACAAATCCCTCCAAAAAAAGCACTCAGTGATAAAGTACAACATCACATGAGTGACCCAGCAACCTTCACAGCAAAAAGCAAAACCAGCTCCAGCTCAAAGGCATCACCCAAAACCATACAGCACCCCAACATTGGGGCACCCAGCGCAGCAGCAGCTCAGTCCAAGCACAGCCCAGGTGGGAAAATCTCAACCCACTCCTTGCATCGTCACTTCTGCCCTTATAGAAAAAGGGTACAACCCCACACAGATCTTACAGAAATGAGAACACAGAACATAACACTCACCTTGGGTGTTGGAAGACCACAACTGTTCCAGGAGAGAGAAGCAGACACGTTTAGAAGATCCTAGAAGACTGCCAAGAGGGTAAGGATTGTGGTCATCATGGTTTTATAGGGGCTGGGGCAGATGAGCAAACACCAGCAGCTGTGGGTGTGGGCACAGGAGAGACCCATCAGGTCGTTAACAAAACCCAATGATGCCCAGCTGCTCCTGCAAACCCTGGCAGGGAAATAAGTCCTCTTTCCCCGAGGTAAGCGCCCTCCATCCATGGCCACTCCGAGGGCAGCTCCAAGTGCCAACTCACCGTCACCGAACAGCCCCCGGGTTCAAACCCGGTGTGGGGAATCCTGCAGGGAAGGCTTCAGCCAAACTTTGTGAGGGTCAATAGTGGTGGAGAGGAGTCCTAATGCTTCTTGAAATGGTGTGAAGTTTCAATGATTACAGTGGGATATTAAAGAGAAGAAAAGGGACGGAAAAAAATACTTGATGTCTTATTTCCTCACCTCACCATAAAATTCTTTCTTATTCCCTTTAAAGCCTTGCTGTCAACTGAAATCAAACTCCAGATTTATTCCTGGGGAAGCGTGTGAGTAACCAAGAAAGAAAAATTATGCACAATCAGTCAGGACTGCACAAGGGAAACTCCGAAGTTAACCCTCGAATTTCAACACGTGAAAATCCTTTTGCTCATGCAAACCTGGAACGGAGCTGAAAGGCACCCAGCCAGCCCAGCCACACTGCAAAGAGTTAAGTCAGGGAAAATCAATGGCATGTGAAGGACAGCTTCCGTGGGTGCTGGGACAGGTCTTTCCTGGGTGGTATAAAAGCAAACGATGGTGTCGTTTATTGTGGCTGCCCCATCCCTGGAAGTGTTCCAGGCCAGGTTGGATGAGGCTTTGAGCAACCTGGTGTAGTGGAAGGTGTCCCTGCCCGTGGCAGGGGGGTTGGAACTAGATGGTCTTGAAGGTCCCTTCCATCCCAAACCATTCAATGGTTCTATGTCCATCCTTGGTGTTATTTTGTCCAAAATATGGAAGAAGCTGTTAGAAGGTGGACAATGATGGCACTGCTGCGTGCGTGGAAGGGGGAGCAGGCCAGGGAGGAAGGCGGCTGCCAGCTCGGGATGCGGATGCAAAACCTTTGGGGTGGTAGTGGGAAAAGCCAGGAAAAGGGAGTGGAGAAAACGAAACAGGGAGAAATAACTCAGCTTTTGGCTGGTTCTTCCCAGTTAAAACGAGGACAGTATTAACAAAAACATCTTTAAAAAAAAAACCAACCAAACATAAAAACGACCGACCGCGTGAAAGTGATACAGTGAGTGATGTAGGTGGTGTGGCAGGACACACCAAACGTGAGCCAAAGCGGATAAAAAAAACCTGGAAAGCTCTTGAAAGCTGGCTTTAAACGATAGTGACATGTTTTGACACCGTTCCCTGACAACAATGGCTGTAACACCAACACAAATTAATGATGTCAAGTATTAATACCGATGCTGCATGAACTCAACCAATGTGGTCCCAATTAAGTATCAAGTATGGTTATAATTTGAAAAATGACTGCAGAAATCTCATTGCGACATATCCCTGCTCGCGTCTCTCCCCGATGACCACTCCAGGTTTGCACATCTCCCTGGTGGGACACAGTCTTCTTCCCCACCGGGACACGATCCCCTTCCCTGGTGGGCTGTGGTCCCCTTCCCTGGAGGGATGTGGTCCCCACCTGCCCCATCCTCACTCGTGGCTGCTGTATAAACACCAACTCCAGTTGCCAAAACGCATGACCCCGACGTGCATCGGGAGGGCTTTTTAATAGGAAGTTCACATCTTATTTTACTCTCCAAGTTTCGAGCCGTTGAGGTCTCCCTGTGTGCTTTTCTCTGGAAATATGAGGGCTACAAAAACATCCTCTGTAATACTGAAAGCTGAGGTGCTCCTGCAGTCACCAGAGTCCAGGACTTTATGAAAATCGAACGTACAGAGATTTGTAGGACTTGGCAACACCAGATAACTAACTTTACTAACCGAGCAAAGCCAGACGACGGCCAACCTGCCTGTGCCAGCGCATGGGTGCGACAGCGCTGACCACGACAAAGCTCACGCCGATGTCAGCGAAGTGTCCGATTTTATCCAGGACTTCCAGGGAGAGTGAATCAGCCGAGACAAGCTCACTTGACCTGGACTTCTGGCTGCAACTGTTCCTCAGAGCAAATCTACTCTTCCCAAACAATTCTGTACCGGTTTATTGCCTGGACGACAGACTGGGAGATCTACAGGACAAACCTTCACGCAACTCATCTGACTCACCTCCAGCCTTATTTCAAGTTACTGGAGAGGTTCCCGAAATTCCGACCACGCTACAGTGTCTCCAATTGAGGATCCACCCAACCATGAGTTCACCAAACTCACCATTTGTTTCTCAACCATCAAAAACGTCTGGGAGATACTGGACTCACGGACAACCCCCATGCCAGGCTGATAATGCAAACTGGGCAGCTTTTAGGGCCAGTTTGCCCTACTGGGCAGCTTTTAGGGCCACGGTCTATTCTGCTCTTCCCACCAGCATTGATACCCATCGATTTGCAGAAACATGAACATGCACACTCGTCTTTACAATGTCCCCATCATGTTTTCATTATTGGAGAGATCACAGAGCCCTGAGCACCAACAACTACGGGAGATTTTCTTCTCACCTTCTCCGTTTGCTCCGTGTCCTCATTCATCCTCCTCTTGGAGACAACTGCAGCCTTCCAGCAACTCATCTATTGTTTTTTCTCAGGGTCCTGGCTGAGATGGGAGACAGTGGTAGCCCCTCTGGAAACCCCCCAACCACAGTGTGCCCCAGCAGATGTTGCTGGACATCAGCCAGGGGGGAAAAAAAGACAATTAAAAAACCCCCCTATAATGCGAATACTTTATTATCAATGAGTGACTGGTATTAGCTTTTTGTCTGGGTATTAATATTATTTCAAAAAACCATACATCAAAATTAGGGCTTTCTCCTATTTTTGCTGTATAATTTTTCTTTCTTAAAAAAATCTGTATTGAAAGAATTATATAAGCCAAAGTGCATTTTCTGGTTTTTGTCCATATACACATTGCACCATACATAAATAATTACATTGTAAAAATGACTCCATAATTACAAGTATAATATATATTTTCATATAATATATAAAACTTTATATTAAATCTAGGTAGATGATATTTGGGATAGTCTGTGTCTTTTTTTTTTTTTTTTTCTCCTTTTTCCTTTCATCAGAGGCTGACCGTTATCGACTGTTACTGAGTAAAATCTCCAGCCAACAAGGACACGACGTGATGAACTGTCTCGAGTAACACGGCCCCCAGCCTTTGGCGAAGCTGATCCGAACGCTGTTGGGGTCGTAGGGCCCGTCCGCGTAATCCAGATCGGCCGTGTGCTGCAAGAGGCAGGACTTCTCGTAGTCGAACACCTTGATGGAATAGCCCGGCATCACTTTGCGCACTATCAAAGTCCTACAGTTGGGGATGTCCAGTGTCGGGGAGTTGACGAAGATGGGATGCTCGCTGCGGTTGTAAGCCCACACACCGTCCGGTTCTTTGCTAAGTAAAATCCCGTAGCCGATTTTACTTCGAGTCCTTCTCACAGTCTCGCTCCTGTTTTCCAGGTTTAGCTGTCCGAGGCAGAAGCCGTTTCCTTGAGGTAGGTCATAAAATATACTGACAGACTGTTCGTACACTGTGTAGAGGCGGCCAACGCGCGTCCGGTGCTCCCAATAAGCCACGTTGCACCAATGGCTCCTCTTCACGGCATCGGGCGACGTACTGGCATCTGTAGGAGAAAGCAGAGGAAGAGTCAGGATTTGCTGCGAAGGCCTGGGAGAAGACAGGTATGGAGGGTAAGCAAATGCCACCCATTGGCTTTGCTCACGTGGGGACTGAACTTGTGTTCAACCCAAAGCCCATCTTCAACTCAAAGCTTGTGCTCAACCCAAAGCTCATCTCCAACCCAAAGCCCATCTTCAATTATATCAAATGCCACCAAGAAAGACGGCTCAAGCAAAGGCCGGTGACCCAACAAGCCACCCACAGCTCCCATGGAGCTCAACGCCTATGTAAATGTTCAGTCCTGTGTCCAGGAGCTGGGATCCCATGCACTCAAGACATCTACCACCAAGAGCTGGCATGGATACTGTACCACTGCAACTCAGCCACCTCTGAGCTCAGCGGGTCCCCAAGCTCCTCCAGCATCGCTGCAGTGGTGTACTCCCATTTTCAAAGTTCAACTGTGTTGAGCTGAAACACAGTCCCCTGTCCATGAAGTGCTCGGATGACTGACCCAACAGATCTCTCTCCTATGTAATATTCTTTGACAGTGACACTGATATTCCCACAAGGAACATGAAATCTGAGGAGGCCATTTCATGCCAAGGGGGAGTAGTTGCTATGAACTATACATGTCCTCCTACAAAGCCATTGGAACTCTCTCCAGAACGATGAGAAACATCTCTCTTTCTAGGAATTACACTCAAGGAAGATGGGAGGGATGCAGATGGCCAGAAATCTGTCCGATTTATGATGCCTCCAGAAGGAAGATGGGAACTCTCAGCCCTAAAGGAGCCCCGAAGAGGGTGAATCAACCTCTTGCTGAACATGATTCCAGCTCCTACCACACCAGTTAACAGAAAACCACGCTGGGTCTTCAAGCAAGGACCTCTGCTTTGAGCCAGCCCTGCTCTGTGCCTGGCATTAAGCTCCCTGACAATACATCACGCGCCCGCGGCCTGCTGACCCCTCTGCCTTCGTGCCGTCATGTCCGATTAACTCGCACGCGGGGTGATGCCATTATTTTGCTTCAGAGACCCTATTGATGCACCGGATTTCAAGCGCAGCCCTACAGCCCCGTTTCTTTTCAGGCTCAAATTACCCTGGAGGGGAACGAGCTCTCCTCCCCATTAACCATCTTGGAATTAAGCGGCTTTGTTAGAGTTTAACTTGAGTTGTAACTGTACAAATTCAAGGGGAGGCGGATGGGGGGAAGGAGGGTAACTGGGCAAGCGGGGAGGCAGTGGGGCCAGCAGGATGCCCTTTGCTGTGGGCAACGCTCATCATCTTGCACTGACCCCTTTGCCCGTCACCAGTCTAAACCACTCAAAAAAAGCCACACTGGCCCCTTTCCCCTCTGTCATCTGTTCACATAATTTTTAGGACCCAGCACGGCTGCCAACAGCTCCTTTTCAGTTTGATGCGTGATTTATCCAGAACTGGGAAGGAAATCCCACAGCAATCAGACACTTCAACCCCACTGGGAAAAGAAACATCATTCCCTGCATTTATGGCCATCCTCCATGGAGGAGGAACCCGACTGCTTCATGTCCCCTAATACTGGAGGTGATGTCCTGGGCCTCATAAAGACATGCAAAAAGTCCTGCTGGACACAAACCGGGCGAGATGTGCCCCTTAAATTCAGAGTTAGTGGCTCTGCACAGCAGGGAAATGGGTGAAGACCCTTGGTTAGAGCAATGGCAGCATCCTGGAGCCAGGTGAGGTAAACTTGGGTTTCTCTGCCCCAAGGACCAGGTCCTGTACCCCAGCCACGGCCCCTGTGGCACCGACGGGTCTTTGTGTCTCTGTGTTTCTGAGCCATCCTCAGTGGAAACCACTCAGAGTCACTCTGTAATAAGTTCATCCTAACGCTGCCCTGTGCCAATGACAAAAACCAGCAAAACCAAAGGTTTCTCCCCATTTGCACTCTTTGGCCAATAACTGTATTTCCTCTGCCATTTCGAATGACCTTCCTGCATCCGGACTGCCAGGAGTTAAATGAAAAACCCAACTTGCTCCGAAAGGTTAATGACTTCATGGGTAGTGACTTCATGGGCAAGTGTATGATGGATATGTTGTACCCGAGCACATCATTAAATACTGACGACTGGACTTGACTCTTCCTAAATATCTCATGATGTCTTGCAAAGCACCGGCTATGTGAACATGGAAGTTTTAGGGAAGGAAAAGAAGACTGAAATGTAATCCTGGATTACAACCCCCCTGCCAGCAGCCTAGTGCCAATATGATGCACTAAGATCTCCACCAAGAACAGAAACTTTGATGATAAAAAGTTTCAAAACCTCTTTGCAGCATTTCTGCAGCAGTTGCAAAAATGATGTTAACCAAATTTATGGCATTAACACAAATCTGACCCAAAGAGTCGTATCTAATTGAACGTTACTGAAGCAAGACCATCCTTGGCTACGTCTGTACAATCCTTGAAATCAACAGCTTGGCATGGATGAAAATCTTCTGACCTTCTCTGATAACATCCCGTGGTCTAGCATCGTGCAGATGGTCAGCGCATTTTCCTCTTTAAAACGCACTACGGCAAATAGTTCCATGTTTTCTTTTAAGAGGTGAAACAAGATGTAGTTCATAAATGACACGACTGCAGAAAGAAGAGGTACTGAGCAACTGAGCTTCATCTGCAGGTCCATCTTCCACAGCATCCAGTTTCCACAGTCATCCTTCCCTGGGGATATCATATAGTTGAGATGCCCCCAGTGTCTTTTCGAACCTCTTCTCAAACGCTAAATTTTGCTGTTGTCCCACTTGAGTGATGCTGAGGTGGCTACAGACAAGTTCAGAGCTTTTCATCTGCTGGGCCCAAGGTAGCTTTTCATCTGCTGCCTACCCAAGGCTGGCAGCAATTACCGAGCTCTGCATCCATTTAACCTCCCAACCTCCACAAAGCCCTGAATGCTCATTAGCTAAGTTGGTTTTATTATTACATTTTTTTTAAAAACTACCACTCGGCCCCGAATTTCCCTTCCAGACTAAGAATGGGACAACTTCAAAACTCAAGTTTCTCCATCAGTTCAATTAATCAGGGGAATAGTCAGCAATAAACATTCAAATAGGTGTTTCCCGTGGTTTACTGCAAATCAACACAACTAGTGGGGGAAGGCAAAGCAGGAGGAAACCAGTGTCCGTTCTGCACGAACATCTCGCTGTAGGTGCCACCACCCCTGGTGCCGTCTCTGTTTTCCAGAAACTGGCAAGTATTTTGGTGACATCTCCGATGTACAGGCATGCTGGAAACAGGGGAAGGTTTTTTCACACCTCGTGCTTTGATGCACCTACAACAGCCTTATTCAAGTCACTTCCATGCAACTTATGGCATCACCTTCAGTCCATCCATCCACGCACCCATCTCGGGGGGTGAAACCCCCTGCCAATGTGCTTCCCATCTCTGCCACCCCATCGCAGCTCCTGCCCAGTGGTAACAGCTCCACCAGCTCGAAGCATTCCTGGAGATGTCCCATGCTCCTTCGAAGGGACGAGGATGTGAGCTTTAGGTAACGGCGCATCGCGCAGCTCCAAGTTTCCTTCCCGCTCCACTCTTCCTGGCCGGGGGTGAAGAAAGGCTTTAATCCACGTGACCAGCTGCAAAAGCAACCTGCCCGTGGCCCGCAGGAGAATAAAACACCCAGAAAGGAGATGGTTCAAAGGCTCATCTGAAAAGCCTCTACCTCTGGAAAGCTTTCTGCAGGGTCCCTCTTCTCCCCCAGCCCCATCGACCGCCTGCCCCACTCCCCGTGGACCTTTATCGATCGGATGAACGGGCTGAAACTCCGGCTCTTGTTTACTCGTTGCTCCGAGTCGCCGTTTCCTCTGCCGCAGCGATGCCTCACGGCGGACACATCCCAAAAGGAAATTCAAATAATTTAAGATTAAAAAAAAAAAAAGATAGGAAACGAGACGGAGAATCGAAACCAGAACTTAATGGGAAAAATGACTCGCACGGCTCAGGCAGAAGGAATCCAGGTAGAGGAATGCATGCAAAGAGCAAATACTGTAAATCCTTGTGGCGCTGGCGGCGCTGCTGCTTTCGCTCCCTGCGGAGCGCGGAGATAAAGAAAATAACTCGAGGTTTTAGATGATTGGTGATTTGAGGGCGCTTTATGCCAGTCGAGTTCAAAGCAGTGCGTTAAAAGGGAGAAGAAAGCTGCTGTTTTTCCAAAGCAAAACGCTGCGCGGTCCCACCGCTTGATGTTGCACTTAAAAGCAGGATGGAAAACGCGGGCAGATCACAAAAGACACGATTAACATCTCTCTGATTTATCCTTCGGCGCTTCCGAAGCTGCCAAACCTCTTCTCAGCACATCGCACGGCTGCGAGGGAGATCTTGCTGCGTAAGGAAACGCGCCTGAGAAAGGAAGTTTGCTGCAAAGCTCTGAGGAATATTCCCATTTTTGCACAGACTCCTGGAGAAACAATCACTAGTGGCTCTATGTTGTTTTTCCAAGCAGAGCCCATCCGTAAGGAATGGGTGATGTCAGTCCCCCCTCCCCACCCAACCCCAACGCACCCTCAGGGGTTCTCAAAACACCTTTAAGAGGTGCCCACAGGGAAGACGACGCATGGGGAAAAAAAAAATAAAATCACTGCACACTCCAAACGTGATGGCGACTCGAGTGCACATCTGGGCACCTGGAGATGAAGGGGGACG